AAACTTGAAAGCACACCTTATTTTATATGGCCTTTTTTAAATCGAAGTGGCTATTTTTTGAGAAGAAATATTAAAATAAATTCACACTTATTATAAAGCAGGTAAAATTTAGAACATATATTTGAAAAATCAAAAAAATATATTAATATTTTCATTGATAATTATTTTAAAATTTAAAAAAAAGCGGAAAAAAAAACAAACACAACTTTCGCCTTCAACGTTTTATTTGTTACTGAAAACATTTCATTATTTTTAAGTGAACAGCTTTTTTTTCTCATAGGGTAAGTTAACGCAAGATATGGGAAGTACCTGTGGTGTCAAGTTGAAAATATAATTAATGAAAGATAATTCTTAAATATTGATATAAATACATAGTAAAGAAAAAATTTGAAGAGGGAATTAGAAAATAATATCTAAAATACAATAAAATATTATTTGTTAAATACAAATTTTATATAAACTTCAAAATTTTACCTCTATTTTTATTTGAAAAAATATTAAAAACTTACTATCATTTATATCAATTACCTAAGAAAAAAAAAATATTTAAAATGTTTGGAAAAAAACAATCATATATTTTTATGACCGGATTTGAATATTTTTCTATTTTTGAAATAAATGGTATTTTACCAAATGACTCGAAAATTCCGACTGTAAAATAACAGGTATTTTAAAATTTTTGTTCCGGTATTTTAAAATTCTTTCCGTTTAGAATTAAGATAGGTCATACATACACATGCAGGGACATTTTATAAATAGATTGCTCTTGTTTACCTACTAATAAAATATGAAAAAAGAGCACAGCAAAATTTTTGAAGCACTCAATATAACATGTTTGAAATAGTTTTAAAATAATTATTTAAAAAAAAATTTATTGGAAGTAGGTACATACATATTTATTTTTAATAATTTAAAAACTAACTGAAATTATTTGAAACAATTTTATAAGTAACGTATGAATAATCGAAATGAGATAATTCAAATTGTTGAAATGTGTCAACCTATATTACTTTTAATAACATTTTTGTTAGCCGACACTACTCAACTTACCTTATTGGCAAATACAAAATGTGCATGAAAAAACATACATCCTTCCTCATTAACATTCGAAACCATACTGAAATATGAATTTCAAATTTTTTATCATTCTTTCTTTCCTCCTACCTTTCCTTCTTTTTCGTGCAATAGAATTTAAATGGGAAACTTTTTAAAAAATGTTTATAATATCCTGAGATTTTTTGAAATATTAGAAATATGACACGATCAGTGGCATTTAAAGAAAAAACCAACAACGACGTCAAAAATTCGTAACATTTCGTAAAAAAAATTGAGTATTGGGACTTGTTAGATATAAAGACATTAGTTAGATATAAAGACATTAATTTAATACTCATAAAAAACTGTTAAGTTTGTTAAAATGTGTATTCTACATATGTTTATAGTAAGAGCATCTTGAAAAAGTAATGAAGCCAAGTTATTTGTAGTTGTCTCCTTCTTTAGTCCAAATTAGAAATTGTCCAAGTCATAGCAAAAGTGTATTTACTTTATTTCTTTATTTGGCCTCTACTCTAAAATATGTGTGATTTGTAGGAAATATAAAAAAATTTTTAAACGAAAAAACTAAACAATATTTTAAAACATGTTTTTTATTTGAAATTTTTGTAAAAGAGATCAAATTTTAAGAAAACTCACTAATTTTTCTTCTTTTTGCAAAAATTTATTTCCTAATTAAATTAAGTATAAGTATTTTAATATTAAAATATCTAACTGTCATTAAAAATAAGTATATTTTATTTGAAAATTTCTAATATTATCAATTTTATTCCACAATCTTTATGTTTTATTTTAATATCAAAGTATGTGTGGCTTTAAAATTAAAGTTAAATGATTGAATTATGGCTCCTAATTAATACATGATTATTTAAACTAAAAAAAATATTTTCGCTAAAAAGTTTATAATAGGTTCTTTTGGAAATTTTTTGTTTATTCTTTTCATTTCACGAAACTTACACATTTTAAAAAAATTATCTGATCGACGAATAACCTTTTGACTTATTATATGAAACAAATACCATATAAATCTCGACGCTGCCTTTTTTGTGAATGGATTTGTAAATTGCATACATATGTATTTTTTTTTGACGAAATGACATTTCTGAAGAATAATTTTTTTTTTATAAAAGTTATGATTTTGCCTATTTTCATTTTGGGTTTTCAATACGAAAAGTTGACTAAAACCTAGAAATTTTGATACTAGCATGAAATTTGGAGTTTTCTGAAAAACGTATCAGAAATTCAAATTTCATTTCAAAATTTTAACTATAATTTTGATTTAATATATTTTCGAGCTTTTTCCGCGTTTTTTTGTACTGCCATTTCAGACAACATATCTGAGAGAATTGAGAGTAAAAAATGATAACACAGTGAATATAAGAAATTTGGTACTATATTTTTTAGTCTAGAATACACGATTTAAAATAAAGTTAATAAAAATCTTATTAGATTTTAATTTAAGTTTGTAATTATTTGATTTTAAGTTTTATAATTAAGAAGTGCTTTTAAAATTTTATAGTCGTTATAAAAGATGTGTCGTTTCAAGTTGTCCCCTATATAAAATAAACGTAATAAAAAATTTATAAAGAAACTTGTACAAGTTCTAAAGTTTCTGATGCGGTAGTTTAGGTAAATTAACGAATTAGCCTGACTAACAATGTGAAAATAATTCCTAATAAAACTATAATTCCCATATACAGTAATTTTTATGAATTATGAAGCATATAAGTTTGATTAATGTAGTATACTCATGAAAAATATATGTGATTATATCAGAAGTATGCATTTTTGGAAAAATGCATACAAAATTAGCAAACTCATTAATACCAAATGTACATTTTCCCTTTTTTTAACACCTTTTACTGGCAAAAAATATGAGAGATAGGAGATAACGAATGTGGTTAACTTTTAGCTCTTATTGTAGCGTATCGAAACACAAAAACAACAAAATTTTCGAGAAACTTCGAGTTTTTAAAAAAAAAATCAAAAAAAGAAAAACAAAAATTTTGACAGGAAATAATTTCATGTAAATCTAATTTATTGGTACTTCTTCCTCAAAAGGCCATAGCTCGAAAACAAGTATACCTGCACCCGTCCACCCAATCAGACGATTTTTCGTTGCAAATTGGTTAAAGAATCATCCCTGAAATATCCTGGTTATTAGGTAGAGAAATACACAACTGACAGCACAAAAAATTTTTTTGCCCAAAATTGAAAAACAACAGAATTCACATTTTTAGATTCTCCAAGAATATTCTACCACTAAAAGAAATTCTAGCCGATAACAAATTTAGTATTTATATCACAGCTGACAAATTTACACGTATTCTTATGGGATCTATAGAGCGCCCTTTTTAACATCATAAATCTCCCACAAGATCAACTTTTTTTCAAATTTTTAATTAGAATAAGTTAAAATTCAATCTTTTTCTACTCTACTAATGCTTACATTTTTAAAGTTTTCTGTTATTAGAATATTAAAAAATTGATTTAAAAAAAACCTAGGTTCAGTTCGTTTTTTCAAGATTTCAATAATTGCGACACTACAAGAAAATAAAAACAGTCCAATTTTTTTTTCGAAGTATTTACATATACAGGGTGTGCGAGACTCAATGGTATTCCCGAAGCAGGATGATAGAATGCATGCAGACGAACAAAAAACACCTAGTGACATTTTTCTTTTTGGGACCTTATTCTTGAGTTATGGGGCCTCAAAGTTGAAACACGTAAAAACCGTTTGATTTTCATATTTTTATTTATAACTTGGAAAATGTGGCAGGTAAATCCAACTCTGTGTACTCATTTTAAAGCTAATGAAATTCTCGTTCTAACGGTATTATTTCTAAAAATTTTCACACATTATGTTATATCAAAATGAAGGTCAGAATAAAGGCCTTCTCTTCATGTAAAAAAAACGACAGGTTCATAATGTGGAATTATAAGTAAACGACGGTTAAACGAAAATTTAGAAAAAAAATTTTAAGAAATTTTGACTTTGCACTTGAATATCTCTGAAACAATAAAAATCTTTGCAACCGCTGGTATACCGTTAGAATGAGAATTTCATTAGCTTTAAAATGAGTACACAGAGTTGGATTTACCTGTCACATTTTCCAAGTTATGAATAAAAATGTAAAAATAAGCTGGTTTTTGCATGTTCCAACTTTGAGGCCCCATAACTTGAGAACAAGGGCCCAGAAAGAAAAATGCCATTAGGTGTTTTTTGCTCGTCTGCATGCATACTATCATCATGCTTCGGGAATACCATTGAGTCGCGGACACCCTGTATAGTGATTTTTTTGTATTTTTTCAAATTTGAAAAAAATGTACATTTGATATTAACGAGTTTGCTAATTTTGTATGATATGTTTCTCAAAATGCATACTTCTAATATTATAATGTCAAGATCTGGTAAAATACTCTTTCAGCAAAAATGAGAGTAAATCGTGACGTTTTAATTTTCCCAATATTTAAAGTTTTGTCAAGTTTTGTCTTGACATTACAAATAACCAAGGCCCTGCTTTTTTTGTGAATCTGTTTGTAAAATTGCATAAGCATGTATTTTTGGCGAAATGACATTTCTAAAGAATCATTTTTTTTTTAGAAAAGTTGTGATTTTGCCTATTTTCATTTTGGGTTTTCAATACGAAAAGTTGAATTCGTAACTAGCATGAAATTTGGAGTTTTCTGAAGAACGTATCAAAAATTCAAATTTCATTTCAAAATTTTACTATAATTTTGATTAAATATATTTTCCAGCTTTTTCCGCATTTTTTTGTACCGCCATGTCAGACAACATATCTGAGAATTGAGTGTAAAAAATGATAATACAGTGAATAAAAAAATTTGGTGCTATAATATAGATATCAAGTTTGTAATTATTTGATTTTAAGTTTTATAATTATGAAAGTGCTTTTAAAATTTTATAATCGTTATTAAAGATGCAACATTTTAAGTTGTCTCCTATATAAAAACAAATATGTATAATAAAAAAATTATAAAGATCTAAAGTTTCTGATGCGGTAGTTTAGGCAAATTAGCGAATTAGCCTTACTAACAATGTGAAAATAATTCCTTATAAAACTAAAATCACAAAAAGAATTCCATGGACTTTTAATATAAAAAGAATTCACGTATGCAATAATTTTTATGAATTATGAAGCATATAAATTTAAATAATATAGTATACACATGAAAAATATATAGATATATATGTGAATATGTATATCTGAAGTATGCGTTTTGGGAGACATATAATACAAAATTAGCAAATCGTTAATATCGAATGTACATTTTCCCAAATTTGAAAAGATACGCAAAAAGCAACTAAATACTTTTTTTTCTTCCTGTAGTGTAGCATTTATTGAAATCTTAAAAAAATCTGGAAGGTTTTCTTTAAATAAATTTTTTTATGTTTTGATAACGCAAAACTTTAAGAATGAAAGCACTAGTAAAGTAAAAAAAAATTGGATTTTAACTTTCTCTAATTAAAAATTTGAAAAAATTTGATCTTGTGGGAGATTTATGAAGTTAAAAAGGGCCCTCTATAGATCCCATAAGAATAGGTGTAAATGCGTCAGCTCTGAACTGTCACTCTCTCTTAGGGTCCACGCCTGTATTTCTGTCAGCCGCGTACCAGCCGCTTTGCATACACAAACTTTATTAAAGTTTTTCAAGTTGAATAGCTTTTAAAAATTTTCTGATACCAATGAAATCTGCTACGCGCATAAAAGAATTTTTGCCAAAGTTGCACGTGAGCGTTAGATTAGAAAAAATAATTTATTAAAAACAAAAATGAGTGTAAGATGGTAATTTTTTGTTTAAAAGAAATATTTTATTGTAGTGACAGAAATAGGGAAGGGTACAATATTATTGGGGCTAAAGAAAGTATGTGATTAATGATAGTTATACTTACTAATTACAAATTTTTTTTTTTTTCAGTTGGACTAGGTATTCGTCATCTGCAATGTTTTCTGTTGTTTTGGTGTTTAACGGTGGCGTATGCCCTTAGAGTTAATTTGTCTGTGGGAATCGTGGCAATGACGTCAAAAAATGACACAAATCCTGATTTTGAGGCAATGCGAAATAAATATATAGCTATTTTTAAATACTTAGTGTTAAAATTTTTAAATTTATTTTAGGAATATAAATGGGATGAAAAGACAAAATCTTTATTATTAAGCAGTTTTTTTTGGGGGTATGTCGTAACACAAGTTCCTGGAGGATACTTGTCACAAAAATATGGATCAAGGCCAATGCTTTTCTTTGGTGTATTAATTTGTTCCTTACTTGCCATTTTAACACCAATATGTGCTTCATTAGGAGATTGGCAATTTGTTTGTGCTCTTCGTGTAGCTCAAGGATTTTGTCAAGGTGTGGTGTTTCCTTCAACGCATAATCTACTCTCTAAATGGGCTCCAGTAGAAGAACGAGGTAAATTAGGAACATGGTGCTACGCGGGAGCCCAATTTGGGACAGTTATAATGCTCGCGTCTAGTGGCATAATAGCCTCATCCAGACTAGGTTGGCCCAGTATTTTCTATATATCAGGTTCAACTGGCATTATATGGTCCATATTTTGGTTTATTTATGGTTCAAGCACACCTGCGCAACATAAAACAATATCAGACGACGAAAGAAAATTTATTGAAACTTCACTTGGAAAATTTGATGATCAGCGTACCAAAAATTTAAATATCCCGTGGTTCAAAATTTTAACATCGATGCCTTTTGTTGCTTTAATTATTGTTCATTGTGCTCATAACTGGGGTTTCTGGACATTATTAACAGAAATGCCAACTTACATGAAAAATATTTTAAATTTGGATATTAAATCTAATGCTTTATTTTCATCTTTACCATATTTAGCAATGTGTTTACTTAGTTTTATGTTTACATTCTTATCTGATATTTTATCGAGAAAAACATTGATGTCTCTATCATTTAGTCGCAAATTTTTCAATACAATTGGACATTGGATTCCGATGGTTTCCTTGATTGCTCTAGCATATGTCGATAAAAATGATCAAAATTTAGCCATAATTTTGTTAACTATTACTGTTGGAATAAATGCAGCTACATACCTTGGATTCCAAGTAAATCATATAGACTTATCTCCTAATTTTGCTGGAACTTTGATGGGAATTACAAATTGTGCAGCAAATATAATGAGTATCATTGCCCCGCTTACTGTCGGTTTGGTTGTTTCGGATGAGGTAAATTATAATAGTAGCTCAAATGTTGCATGAAAATAATCGAGCTCTTCATAGAAAAATCCTGCGCAATGGAAAATAGTGTTCTTCATATCGGCTGGTATATACTTAATTGGGAATTTACTGTTCATTATTTTTGGAAAAACAGAAGAACAGGCATGGAATAATACAGCTCATGGCCAGTTAACGCCAAAAGTTAGACGAACTTCAATTATAGTTGAAGCAGTTGAATCACATAACTAAATAAAATTTCAAATTTTTCGTTTTCATCACTAATTACAATTCTTTTCAGTTGAATATTTGTATATATGTATGTACATATATGTTTGTAAATGCATATGTATATGCATCCTAAACAATTATATTATCCTAAACTTCCTAGAAATGTTTTTATTTTTTAGATAGGTTCCCACCTTCTTTTTTGTTTCATAATTGCGTTTAAATTTAAAATTAAACATAAAAAGCAAAAGTTAAAGAATTAATCTCGGTTTACAAAATATTCGATTTTTGTTAAGAGTTGTGAAGGCAAGAAAGAAATAATGTGTGAAAACAAACGAGTGTATCAAACCTAGCGAAATGAACAAAAATTAAACTAAGGTTAAGTTTGTGTTTTTTTTTTAGTAAAAACAAAAATTTAATTTTCATTACATAAAAGTTAGGAACAAGCATTCGAATGTTTTGATATGAATATAAAATTTTGCGTATTTTCGTATTGTATTATAATATATGCAATATAATATAACCTATACAATAGGAGTTTACATACATATGTAAATACGCAGAATGTATTAGGTAGTGATAAAGAAATAAAGCAATTTATAAAAAATCTATGCATATCGATTCATACTTTATGAAATATAATTATTACCGATACGTAAATAGGAAATACTTTTAAATTTATAAAGATAAGATTGAAGTGAAAATGAAAGATTCATAATTTATATTTTTTACATTTATTGAAATATATTAGTTACAAATTTAAATTTTTTAATATTATTTGTCTTTTTACAATTTATTTTTATTATTTTATAAAATTATTATATATTATAATAATTTTTTTAGTTGTTTTGCTTTTATATTGTGGATACCATTTTCGCCACCTTGTACTAAAATAAACAACAAAATGGTTTTGTGGCTTTTAAAGTGCTTGATTCCCTATGCCATATATACTAGTTATGTGTTGTTCCCGAACGATCTAATCTTAAAGAACAAATCATTTCATACATCCAATCTATCTAAATCTAATCTAATTTATTATAAATCCAATACAAATAAAAACGAACGATATACTCTTATATGGAATATCGATAAAAGCAAATGAGAAGTAAAATAAGTGAAACGCTATATACAAAAAAGTTACAGAATCGGTTGCCAATATAAATACAATACAAGAAAATTAAACGATATACTAAATCCAATACTCATAAAAACTAACGATATAACTTTTATATGCAATATTGCATAAACTCCTATAATGCACTAGATGTTTTAATATTTTTGCGGATGTGTGTAATCAAAGTTTTTTGTTAAGAGAAAAGACAATTCATTTCTTTAGTCCATATATAAATTTCGTGTGGGAAGGCTGTAGCTAAGCGGTAAAATAATTTATTTGCTTTTTAAAATTTAATTTGAATTTAAATTTAGTGAATAATTATATAATTTTTTGTGTTATTAAATAAAATGAAGATTTATAATTTATATTGACTAAATTTTGTCTTATATTCATAATATTTAAAATAAAACAAAGGTGAATTTGCATAAATAGTATTAAAGTTTATTTAAAAAGAAAAACGATGTAGTTTTTAAAGTTTCTATTGTAATCATATTTAAATAAAATATAATAATATATTTGATTACGTTTATACAAATAGGTGTTGCGTCATATAAATGCTCCCAGGGTGTTGCGTCGAAGGATGCAGAAGCAATAGTCTACTAGAAAAGGAGAACCTAAATGCTATATTTACATTTACTTTGCCAAAGAACGAGGTCATCAAGGACAAATGGATACAAGCATTAGGAAAAATAATTTCGACCCCACCGAAGTATTTTTAATTTGTATGAACTTTAAATTTTATTTTGTTGCCTGTGACAAATATACTTAGCAATGTTAAGATTTGAACAATTTAAATATGTATGTATTTTGTGAATTTAGTTGAATACATTTTTGTCATAAAATTTACTAATTTTAAGAAAAATTGATTAAAAATTTTATTTTTTTATGTAAATATGTACATATGTTATGTAGTTTATTCAAAAACAATTTTGTTATGTATTTACTATTTTCGTTTTAGCTGAGAAATATTTTGTTGCCTGTAATTTATTATAACGCCTGTAATAAGAAACTAGTTTGAAAGAACAAGATATTAAATTTTATTAATATTTAAACGAAATAAAATAATATCTGCATATTTTTTGTATTTTATCCTTTTTTATTTTTCAAACATCCCAAAACGACACGAACATTTCCAAAACATTTAACAAAAAGTACAATGACAAATTTTGAATACATCGTGTGTAATGATTAGTAAGTTGTGTATTACGGATTCTTGAGAATAAAGATGCCTGTGAATATTGATAAAAACAAATGAGAAGTAAAGTAAATTAGATGCTACACACATAAAAGTGACCGAATTAGTAGTAAATATAAGTACAAGTACAAGTAAATAGTAGTACAAGTAAAATTGAACGATATACTAAATCCAATACTCATAAAAACAAACGATATACTCCTATATGCAATATTGATGAAAGCAAATGAGAAGTAAAATAAATAAAATGCTATACACACAAAAGTGACCGAATCAGTTGCCAATATAAATACAATACAAGTAAAATTGAACAATGTACGAAATCCAATACAAATAAAAACGAACGAGATCTGAAGTAAATGAAATTTATTCTAAACAAATGAAAGTAACCGAATTAGTTGCTTTACCAATATAATATACAATACAAATAAAAACATTGTATAAAAGGAGACATGAAGTATAAATGAAAACCAAAACAAATAAAATTGAACACATACTAAATAACCTATGGCTATAGGCAATACAAACAAAAACCAACGAGAACTTATCAAATATAAATAAAATGCAATACAAATACAAATAAAATTGACCGATTCACTTCACATGAGCCTATTGCCTAATATAAATGCGATACAAATAAAAGTGACCAAATTAAAAATCTACCTAAATAAGAAAATCGAAAGATTGGACTAGTTGATTCAAATTGAAAGCTACCTGCATGAAATAAAAAAGAAAGAAAGCACTTAAATGGGCTACCATATGTCGTATATTTGTCTATAAAATATTTAAAAAAGGACAATAATTACGATCGCTTTTTTACCTAAATATTTTAAATAAAAGAAAAAACTAAAAACAAATTAATCACTATAAGTTAATATTGCAACACATTAGGGATTAAGGTAAAATATTAAAGTAGGATAGTATTAAAAATAAAGATAATTACAAATATTTTTATTCTATAAATTTCTTGCGTGGAATATTAAATTTAAACTCAAATGGTTTAAAATTTTTTATTTCTTCAAATTTAAGAAATTACTTGTATGTAATTTAATAGTTTTTTTAATTAAAAGTTTTAAATTTTTATCTTCGTTTTAAACTTTTTGGTTTATATAAGTAGAGACATTTTGTAGTTCAAAACTTTACTAATTTACAAAACCCATTACATATTATTTTCTTTAAAATTTACCATAAATATGAATAGCATGCATTTTAACATGTAATTATCTATACAGTAGGGAAGTGAACGAAATGAACGATTGAACGGGATTTTATAAACGGTCAGTGAAAAAAAGTAATGGCTTCAGAACGATTCACTGAAATGAACGATATTGCCCATGACAATTATATACGAAAATAATGCTTTTGGGCGCCCTTAAAAATACTAAAGTGTTCAAAAGTAGTACTCTGGAGTTATAACACATATATCTGTGCAATTGAAGTCAAGGGAATTTATTACTGCCTTTTAATAACACACAAGCCGTTGCAAAACAATCCTATTACGAGACTGCTAAATAAATAAAAGAAATTATGGTTCGCGTAACGAATGTCAGTGTTCTCGGATTTTACTAAATGATATTATATATATAGAGTAAAACAACAAATTAGAAATACCAAAGAAAGGAGCAGCTTTGTTTCTGTCTCGCTTAGACTCTGTAAAAAATCTTACCTTGAAAAAATAATTGTGAAGCCAAAAACTTCACATAAGTCTCTTTCCCTGCTCCGAAGATTTTCAAACTGAAATTAGCAACTATAAATATGTTATAAACGTCAAATTTCAAAGTATTTATCAAACATAAACAAAAATTTTTTGGTTATATCAAAACCTGAAATTATTGATTATAAAAACGTGAAACTTAGAAAAAACAATTTGTGAACCTTTTTTGGTTATTTTAATTTATTTCTAATTGAAATGTTCTGAAAAAAATGTTATCGTTGATGAAAAATTTTTTTTTAAAAATAAAACCTTGAATTATAACCAAAAAAAACATGTTTCGACAACTGTAAGATTTGAAAAGTTTTTAAAACACCAAATTTTACTTTCCAAAACTTGAAAAAATTTTAAACATCGGAAAATGAGAATGTCATCATTTTTGTTCAAAAAGTATTATCGCAGACAGTTTGCATGAAAAAACTTTATAAGGTTTTTAAAAACTTTTTTATCCCAGACAGACCTAAAACTAGTGCAGTTTGTAAATAAAAAATCATAAAATATTTAATAATAAATTATTAAAAAAAGAATATTATTTTATAAAAACTTATAAAAAAATTATAACAAGTGAAAAAAACAAAAAAAATTTGTTGTAAAAGAAATTTGTTGTATCTAAATTGTTATTCCCATTTGTAAAAACAATTAGTTTTTTTTACACCAAATACTTGACGTGAATATTACTCATTTCAATAATTAAAAGAAATATTTATTCAATAGTGCATTGATTAATTCATAATTTGTAATTTTTTTAAATTTTTAATTTTGAAAAGAAAACATTTGTTTTGTTATAAATTAAAATTACTGCGGATAACATAATTTTACCAGGACCGAATTTTTTTTAAGCGAAATGAGTTTGTGTTTGATAAAATGTAGCATACAAAAAAATATTTTAATGATCTTTTTTTTGGAATGATTACAGTTTTCCTAGATATGATGAAATGAAATATATTTCCCTTTATAGAGTGAAGATTTGGTCAAAAAATTATATGAAGACCCCCCGATGCCGTTGATCAGTAAATAAAATAAAATATTAGCGTGAATTATTTATATTCTAAAATATTTTGTTTTAGAATGAATTAGTATGTGAAGCTCAGTTGAAATGAATAAGGAAGAATACTACTACATGCCATCTAATTCAGTGAGTAATAACCGCCATATTAATTAAAATTTTTTAAAAATTATACTGTTTTAGAGTCATTTAAATTCATATATATTTATATTTATTGTTATTAATATTGTTTATAGTTGTTCAGTAAAATTGTGAGACAAAACTGATAATATAAGAACTTTTTAAGAAGAAACAAAATATTTTCATTTTCGAGGGTCATAAAATATTGTGATATTAAGACACTTATAAATATTTAATATAATATAATATATTTAATATAAATATAAAAAATAATGAGTTTTATTTAAATTTGTTTTTTTCTTCAAAGAGATATAAAATAAGAAAATGTTTTAATATATTTTAGTTTTTCCTTTAAAAAAATTTATTAACTTGTTCTTACAAATTATACATATTTTTTAGTAGAGGCCAGACAAGAAAATAACATAAATACTCTCCTTTAACGACTTTGACAATTCTCGTAGCTAAGAAAGAGACAACTACAAAAAATTTGGCTTCATGTTTTTTTTTTTTTAAATGCTCCTTCCTTTAGTATTTTTAATTCGTTGAAGCAAAATGATATGTATTGAAGAAAAAACTAGGCGAATCGAAATTTTATGTAACTCAAAGAACAGTAATATTTAGTAACGTA